ACCCACGGGCTCAGGCAATCCACTTACCTCAGCCTCCCAAGGCGTGGGATTACAGACTGAGCCACCGAGACCCTTTCTCTTATAAAAAAGAAAAAGGCCGGGCTCGGTGACTCAGCCTGTAATCCCAGTACTTTGGGAGGCCAAGGCGAGTGGATTGCCTGAGTCCGTGGGTTCCAGACCAGCCTGGGCAACTTGGTGAGACCATGTCTCTACAATGAATCAAAAAATTAGCCAGTTGCAGTGGCGCACACCTGCAGTTCCAGCTACTTGGAAGGCTGAGGCAGAAGGATCTCCTGAGCCCAGCAGGTTAAGGCTGCAGTGGTCGTGAGTGTGTCACTGTACTCTAGCCTGGATGACAGAATGAGACTCCAACTCAAAAAAAAAAGAAAAAGAAAGGAGAATAACCCAGCCAGGTGTGGAAGCTCATGCCTGTAATTCCAGCACTTTGGGAGGTGGAGGCAGGAGGGTCACTGGAGGCCAGAAGTTTGAGACCAGCCTGAGCAACATAGCAAGATGCATGTCTCTACCAAAAAAAAAAAAAAAAAATAGGAGGAGGAGAAGGAGGGAGAAGGAGAGAAAGAAGAAATAAGAAACATAACTCAAATGAGGAACAGGCTTACAACAAGATTCACTGCCCAGGCCTGCAATGTATTCAAGGAGGCAAGGGGAATTCGTTTGACGTTTCTGTGGAAACTTCTCCTAAATCTGGTTCTTTTGACTTCCTCCCACCTCTACCTTTTTAGAGGTCTAAAGGAGTCAAGGTTGTGTGCTTTTTCTCCAGGTGCATTCAGGGCCACAACAGAAGGCAACTGCCATGCTGCTTCCACCTGCAGCAGAAAATGTGCTTCTGGGCTTTCCCTTACTTTGTGCTCACAGCTATTATACCAGCCTGCCCAGTGGACAGACTGACATGCAGGGTGTGTGCATGCTGTGCACATTCCAATAATGACCACACCTCAGGCCTAGAGCATAGACTGGGGGGGCCCCAGGATGCAGCCCTGTTGTGGGGCTCTCTGTACACCAGGGTTGGCCCTCCAGAAGGTGCTGCACTCACTTCACTATTGGCATAACCTGCCTTTGACTCTTGTGAAGATCTGTGAGTTCCTTGCCACGTAGAAGTCTGTTTATGCCAGTGTTCATCGAGAGCAATGACCATTCCTTGGCCATAAAACCTACAGGGAGCAGACCACCAAAACCAGGCTGAGGCCTGGCCCAGAGAAAGATCTTTGTAATATCGACAGATTAAGATTCCCCCTCCCTCTCTTACCTCCAAGAAAGCTCACCTCATGGGAATGAGGCAGCAGGAATAAAATAACTGATCAAATGATAGCAGCTCCATGAGAGAAGTTAACATAATTCTCGGGGGATGGACAGAAATGCAGGTGTTACAGGATGGGGCACAAGAACAAGAAGGACATTTGCAACAGGGAGCACAGCCTGAGCAAAGGCAGGGTGTGGTCTGAACAACATGTAGGTGACCAGAGTAGCAGAAGGTGAAGGTGAATGTGGTTATGATGGTTGAGGCAGGAGGGGGTTGATCACAAAGGGAGGACTCTGGCCAGTGTTCTAAGGCAATAGAAGGCAGGAGAGCTGGAGAAAGGCTGCCAATCTCTACGGGGCAGGGCAGGCCCTGGGGCAGAGAGGCATACCCTTGGTGCCAGTCACAGCGGAAAGGGAGAGCAGAACACAGACCCCGAACTCGAAATAAGTAAGAGTTCTCAATGGCTCCAGGGCATGGGGGCTCCGGATGGGGCTTCCCTAGAGGCCAGATGACACACGTACGCCTCCCTGGCTAAAAGCTAGCTGATGACACAAGCCAGAGCCTAGAGATTTCTTCCCTGCTGCCAGTCAACTGACTCCCTGAAGTTCACTCCATGGAGTGTCTGCCTCAGGAAGAGGGAGGGCAACACCTGTCCTTGGTAAAGGCAGAGATGGAAGAGCAGAAAGGGCTCTGCTTTCCCCACAGTGGGCTGGTGGGGCAAGGCCCCATAGGGGCCTGTTCTGTTCATGTAAACCTCCTAACAGAAGAGGGCTTGACTTGCAGGAAAGGGACCAGCCTTCAGGAGGAGTGCTTTGCAAATACCATGCCCTTTCTCAGCCTTCCAGCAAGGTCAAAAGGCTGTCAGCACCCTCCTGGAGTCCCAGAGACACTCAAGTGCTTCAGCAAAGGCCAAGTTACTCATTAATAAATGAGAAAACACCCAACATCTAAATGACATTTTTTTTAAAGCCCAGAAATCTGGTGGGTGGGGTGCAGCACTAGCTCTGTAGACAGCACAAGGGTAAGGATGACCTCGGCCAGGGATGCTGTGCAAAGAGCAGGGACTCGAGAAAGACAGACACATCTGTCGCAGGTGCAGGTAAACAAGTGAGTCGGCCACATAAGTGGAGGACGAGGTGTGCTCTAGTCCTGTTAACGGCATTCATGAAAAGGAAACTTGCTTTTGGGTGATCCTGGCCTAGGTTACAAGGCACAAGTCCCATTACCTGGGATGGTGGAAGGAGATGCAGACCAGCCTCGAAGCCCAATCCTGCCTGAGAGACTCAAAGATCCTCAGGACAGGAGGGCTCAAGGGATGGCCCAAACTATGCCCTCAGTTTAACCCATGTGGAAATGGCTATCAGGGAAAGAGAAAGGGAAAAGATTAGCCCAAGTTCACAGAATCTTGCCGTGGTAGCTGCAAGTCTGAACCTGCCCTGCATTCTTGCCAAGGAGACAAGAGATACCCTATCAAGAGCAGCATGGAGTTTCTACAGTTGTTTCTAGCTGCCCCTTCAATGCTCCCCACATGGCTGCGATCTCAGCACGTGCACTTAGACACAGCCACAGACAGCCCAAGCCCGGTCTTGGACACCAGCAGGAAAGCAGCAGAGCCCTGGGTACACAGCCTGCTGGGTGTCTAGACACCTCACCAGTCCTGACACCCTCAAACCAGACTCAGTGCCACACCCCTCTCTGCATGTACCCTCCCAAGTCTCTCTGTCTTCCTCCTTCCCAATCCCTAGCCTCTTCCTTGGCCACCTCCCTAGGTAGCACCACAACCAAGCCCCCAGCTATTCCCCTCCACCCTTGCCCAGCCAACCTTCCCCTGTATGCCGGAGAACACAGCTGCCTCCTGCACTTCACCCTTTCTTCAATCCATCTCCCCTAAGTGTCCCCACGTCACTGGCTTCCTCTTCAAAGATACTGGTCAGCTCACAACTCAAAGCTCTTGCTGGCTCCCCACATCCCTTGGAAAACAGCCTTTCTTCTCAGTGCCACCAGCCTAGCCTAAGGCGGTACAGTCTCCCAAGGTCCCATCACCTATCCTATACTCCATTCATACTAACTACTGTCCAGAACACTCTTGCACCCAACCTCTCAAATCCTGAAATATCTACTCTGACAACTCCCAAGAAAACCCACCTCAAAGGCCACCTCCTCAAGATAGTCTACTAAGATGCCTAGGAAAAAGGCCTTCTCACTCCTCTAGGCCCAGGGCACTTCAGATACTAGGCCCAGGAAATAGGCTTGTGGCCATTCCTATTCACAACCAGGCTTTAATTCTTCTTCCCTTCCCCAAGTTCCCCTCCGCTGAGGCACCACCTGGAGTACCTCAAGGCTTATCCCAGAGCCTAGGCTAGACAACCTTCATCAATATTTGCCAACTTAACTACTACTCTCTCCACAAACTCTAGAAAAGTAAAACTCCCAGGAACACTAGTGGCTGGAAGGAGCCATGGCTTGGATTGGGGTTCTCCCCACAGCCCACTTGCCTATTCTTAGAGATAGGGCTGGTCTACAAAACAGCTCTGCCCCAAACAGAGCCTGACTGACCTGTTTCCTAATGTTTGACATCCTCTTACCAAAGACAAACTTTTACAAATAAAATTAGAATTGTACAAGATTGGTATTATTTCTTCCTTAAATGTTCAGTAAGACTTTAATGAAGCCAACTTGGCTGGAAGTTTTCTTTGTGAAAAGATTTGAGTTATAGGACTATATAGATTTTCTATTTCTTCCTCAGTCATATTGTTAATTTGTGTGTTTTAAAGGAATATCCATTTCACCTAAGTTACTGAATTTACTGCCATAAAATGACTTATAATATTCTCTTATTATCCATTTAAAGTCTCTAAGCTCTGTAGTGATGTCCATTGACATTGATAATTTGTATCTTTTCTCTTTATCAGAACAGCTAGAGGTTTATCAATTCTGAGACATGCCTCCATCTCACCTCCTAAGGCTGAATGTTTTAATGATGGGTTTGCTCCTTAGCCTTCTCTTTCTGGAAGACGCCCTCACTAGCTGAGTATACTTGCCTCTGGTTGGCACACTGAGTGTGAAGGTGGCATCAATCCTATTGCTATCTAAACGTGGGAC